AGGGGCATCACAAGTCTCAGGCCAGAAAGAGGCCAGGAGGAGGCTGGGGGCTTGTCTGGGCAGACTTGTGGCCCTGAGTGCGGGCTTCAGTGTGTGCGAGGTCAGCGTCCAGGGTCCGTCCCCAGGCTCGCGCTGAGGATCAGCTCCTGTGCCCTGTGGGATGGCAGTGTACCTTCCTGGCAGGCTCAAAGCTGTGCTTGCTCGAGATGTCACTATTATTGCTCCTGGGTGTGTGGGGGATCACAGACCGCGGTGGGAAGGGTGAGGATGGGGTGTCGTCGCGCTCTTAGCAGAGCGGCTTTGAGACGCCCCTTGGACAGGGAGGAGACCCGGGGCAGGAGCTCAGGGGATGTCGCCAGCCCGGAGGTATTTTAAACCACAGGACTGAATGACCTCACAGGGAGGCTCCGGGAAAAGAGAAAAGCAGCCCATGGCTGGTGGCCGAGCGTGAGCTCTGTAAGGCATGTGGCACACAGGTGGGACTGGGCAGGCCACCGAAGGGGCCTGGAGGATTCAAGGAGCAAGACAGGGACCAGGCCAAGATGGGAGGACAACAGGGGACTCAGAGAAGGCAGGGGGCAGCGGGGAGACTGGGCGGTGGGGGGGGCAGGTGGTAAGTCAGCCCCTTCAAGAAGGGCCCGGTGCTTTACAGTCTATAAGCCCCTGCTCTCTGCTGTCAGTCTCTGCAGCACACCTATCCCATGGTGCCATTCTTCCCTATTTTATGGGTGTGACTCAGAGAGGTTAAGACATTTCCCTAGAGCCACACAGCCCAAGGCGTTCTCCGACTTTCTGGGGTCGTAGAGCTTGCAGAGGACTTTATGAATGCTATGATTCTTCTCTGAAAAACACACATATGTACGCACTAATTTTAAAACTTTTCATGCATATTTTTTCCATAGGTAATACATTCATATGGTTCCCAAATTAAAAAGACACAACCAAAAAACAGTGAGAATTCTTCCTCCCACCCCATCCCCAGCCACCTGCTTCCCCTCCCTGGAGGCAGCCACTGTCACCCGTTTCCTGGGTCTCCATCCAGAGACAAGCAGCAACAAGCAAATATGCGTATCTATAAATTTCTCTCCTCTCCCTTTTCACGCAATTGGTAGCTTCTCTACTCACTTTCATCGCTGTTGCCTTTTTTCACTTAAAAATACATCCAGGCACCTTGCCTGCTTGTAAGCGCAAGGTCCTGAGTTCGACCCCTGGTATCAAAAAAAAAAAACCATCCAGGAGCCCCACACAGCCAAATCCACAAAGAGATCGCTCCTCTTTTTGAGGGCTGCATGGTGAGCCACTCATCTCTGGCTGGGGTCAGGTCTGGCCTGAGACGCTCACACTTCGGGTTTGCACCCTCACCCAGCCGCACCTGCCCCCATCCGGGTTCCTGCTCAGCCCCAAGCTCTGGGAGGCCCGGATGTGACACAGTGGCCCCTCTGGCCGGCTCTAGGAACTGTCGCTCCTGAAACCCGGTCCTCTCCCTCTTCCCTCCTTACCTGTCACTCTTGATGTCCCCACCCCAGCACCATCCAGTCAGCTGGCAAGCCTTGGGGCCTCTGCTCAGAATGGACCGGTACCTTTCCTTCCCTCCAGCTCTGCCTCCACCATTTCCTCCTTGCCCACCTCCCGCTTCTGCTGTGTCACAGAGCAGCCACAGAAACCAGCTTAACACATCTCGTCACACGTGACCCACGCTGTGGACGTGGCAGACCTTGGAGGCTGACGTGGCCAGGTGTCACTGGACCCTGTTAGGGGTGTTTGACTTCTTAAGCTTGGTGGCAGACACACATAGGTTTATCGTATTATTCCTATTTATCTTCAGGGTTTCACATGAAAACTTAAAAGACTAAACCAAGCAAAGTCCCACCTTCCCACCTACTTCCTATGGCCCTGAAGAGGGGACTCACAGCCCTCACTGCCTCTTGTCTCTGGCTCCTCATCCCAGGCAGATGACAGATCCCTCCTGCCAGCTTCACTGCTGTGACAGGGCCTTGTACAGATTCTCCACACACCAGACTCCTTCTGGAAAGTTCTACCCCCAATTTTCACGTAGATGCACAATTTTCCTGACCCCTACCTCTTTATCATGCAAGTCTTAGCTTCCCTGTGGAGACCCCCCCCCAAACTAGAGCCCCTCCCTTCTCTCTCACACACTTCATTCTTTTCCCTCAAACCACTTAGCTCAACTTATAGCTGCCCGCCTGTAAGCAGATGCTTACATATATGATCAAAATATGCAGTGAATATTTAAATTCTAAAAAATTTGTTACAATAAAAGACACACTGCCGGGCCGGGGATTTAGCTCAGTGGTTTCGCCACCTGCTGCACAAGCGCAAGGACCAGAGTTCGATCCCCGGTACCAAAAAAAAAAAAAAAGACACACTGCCATTAATCCCCCTCAGAATACTCCCCTCTCTTTGAACACACTAGTCCCATCATTCTTGCCACTTCCTGAAGCAGCTCTGGAAGTCCTCTTTCGTGAGTGTCTTTATGAGGTGTGATTAAAAGAATACAATGAATGCTGCTGCCGAGCACCATCCAACAAAAAGGCAGGCTCCTAAAAACATGACACAATGTCCTCATCCACTTGATTCACCCGATTCGGCACCATGTGACTTTCAGTACTTCTCCAAAGTCAAAATGACCACAAAAGGGAAACATTTTGGATTAATCCAGGACATCAAGGTAGCTGCAACAGTGCAACTAAAATCACTCAGGGAAGAGGATTTCCAGAACTGCTTCAGAAAAAAGCAAGAATGATGGGATAAGTGTATTCACAGTGAGAAGTATTTGAAGGGTGGATAAATGGCAATGTGTCTTTTACTGTAATAAATTTTTAAATGTAAACATTCACCATGTTTTTCAATCACATCTTGTATTATCTATAGAGCATCTGCCAGCTGATCCATGAGTTGAGTGAGCTCAAGGCCTGTGTCTGACCCCTAGCAGGTGTGCAGTTAATAGTAATGCAGAGCATGGTGGCGCATGCCTGCAGTCCTAGCTGCTTGGGAGCCTGAGGCAGGAGGATCATGAGTTCCAGCCCAGCCTGGGTTACTTAGCAACTTATCAAGACCTCGACTCAAAATAAAAAGTGCTGGGGATGTAGCTCAGGGGTACAGTGCTCTCAGGCTCAATCCCCAGTACCCCCCCAAAAGTAACTGAACAAGCAAGTGTGGAGGACTAGTGTACGGCAGAGCAGGACCCTAGAAGCCACGGGAGGCCAAGGGCTGAAGGCCACCACCATGCAGAGAGCTGAGGCTGCACTGGAAAAGAAGCCTTTGGAGTCTGGCTCTAGTTTCTCCTTGCCGGATAGGACTTGCTTCCTAGAACCTGGCACATAGTGGGACCAGACAGGGTTATCAAGTTGAAGCAAACGTGTGTGTAGTGTTCCTTTGAGGCAGGAGGGCAGAGCACTTCATCAGTGATGCTCTGGGGCTTACTGCCCGGGTCCAGAACCTGGATCTGCCACATAGAGGCTGTGTGGCCTTGAGCAAGTTCCTGAACCTCTCTGTGCCTTGGTTTTCTTACTTCTAAAATAGGAATAATAGCATCTTCCTCTGAGGTCACCACAAGGATGATAGGAATCGATCAGCCTAAAGCACTCTGTTCCTAGTGAGCAGCTCTGGTGGTGGAGAGGAAATGCTGAGCGCGGCTTCTGCAATGGCTCAGTGTTGGCCGCAGGGGAGGGCAGTGGGATTCCAAGGGCAGAGGAGGGAGGTGTGGGGGAGCGACAGTTCACTGAGCACACACTGTGTGGCATGCACTTTCGGGACCATCACATCTGACCCTCAGGACCACCTGCAGGTACGCATTGCTTTTTGCAACTGGACGACTGAGCCAGAGGAGTCTGTGAACCTGACAGAGCCTGGCAGGCCCCAGCCCAGCTCTGCGTGGCTCTGGGGCCACTGTGCTGGCCCACTTGTCCTCTGGTGCAGGGTTGGAGACAAAGGACAGGATGAGGCGGAGGTGGGGGTCCTGGAGGACATGGGGAGGACCACTGGGGCCTGGAGCCGGCCCACCCTTATCGGTTATTCAGTCTGCGCTGGGCACAGTGGGCAGGATCCCATTTATCCTCATCACACTCTAATGTGGTGAGCTCTGCTTTTAGCTTTACCTAGAGATGAGGCATGCAGGGACCACAGAGGTGAAGTAGCTTGCTGAAGGTCACACAGGAGGAAGGTGGCTCTGAAGTTGAAGCTATACACTCAGGGCGGGAGATGTGGGCACCCCGGATTCCCAGAGAGGAGGGAGCCAGGTCTCCCAGGGTCTGAGGAACAGGATGGACAGTTTCTCCTGTGGCCAGTTGGCCTCAGCTCCCCTTTCTCCTAGAGGGGCACAGCTCAGCTGCCTGGGCACTGGGTCCTTTCTCACCCTGCGGAGGACCAGGTGTGAGGAGTGGGGCCCGTGGGACTCCGGACATTTTCCTCTGCACCCTGGTAACAACCTTCCACGGTCAGCGCTGTTATCACCATGTGTGGATGGGGAAACTGAGGCCCAGAGAGGCTGTGCTTGAGCTGAGGCTGGATCAACTCTTGCTGCCCCAAGCACAAGGCTGTAACCAGTGCATTTTGTAGAATCCGCCAGAAGCTGAGTGGTGCAGGGACAGCGAGGGGCAGGGGGCTCAGACCAAGCCTGGCTGGCACCACAGTGTAGACGGAAGGCAGAGAACCCAGGGGCCTGGGTGGAGGGATGGGCAGGGCAGAGGGGACCAGGGTGAGCAGCACACAGGCTGGGGGCCAGGGTGAGCCAGCACCTGGAGCCAGCCAGACCTGAGTGGGAAGCCCACTTTGACCCTTTTTTTCTTTTCTTTTTTTTTTTGTACCGGGATTGAACTCTGGACCTTGCACTTTTGAGGCAGGCTGATCTAAATCCCTGGCCCTTGCCCCTTTTTTTCTTTTGCCATACCAGGTGTAGAACTCAGGGCCTCACATGTGCTAGGTAAGCAATCAGCCACTGAGCCACATCCACAGCCCCTTTTCAAAGTTTATTTTGAGTCAAGATCTCAGTAGCCCAGGCTGACCTCAAACTTGGGATCCTCCTGCCTCAGCCTCCTGAGTAGCTGGACTTACAGGTGTGTGTTACTGCATCTGCCACTGCTTTGTGACCTCTGTACTCACCACCCCTTGCTGCAGCCTGCAACCCCTCACCTGGGGAAGAGTAATATTAGCCCCATCTGTGGCTTTGCAGGGTGCTTAATCAATACTTACCATGCTTCGCGTGGCATGGAGCCTGCACTTCCAGAGAGCAGATGACTGTGTCTGCTGGGCCCAGGGCTGAGCTGTGTGATCTTGGGCAAGTCACGTCCCCTCCCCTGTCATCTCACCGGATCACAGTGACCTGGAAGGCTCCAGCAGGCTGGCGCCGGCTACCACTCCCCAAGTGTGGGCTCCCTTTCTGTCCTCCTGGGGAAGGCGCCTGCTTTCAGGGGTCCGCGCTGCACCTACATTGGTCGGGTCACCTCATGGTCACCTCATCGTGTGTCTGTGAGTGCAACAGCAGAGGGCGGGGCTGCTGCCAGGGTGCAGGCTTTTCTTTCACGATGTCAGAGTCCTCAGGAAAACCCAGGAGGTGACAGGAGCTGGGATCCTGCCTCCTCTGGACCCTCCCTTGTCCTCCCTAATGGGGGGGCAGGTCAGTGATGGTGCCCACATCGACAGCCCTGTGGATCACCTTCCTGTCCCCTCTGAGGCTGGAGATGGCTGCTGGGTCCCTGTGCCACCTTGGACACTGTGCATAGTTCTACTCTGAGTCTCCCTTTCTCTACTTGCCCAGGGAAGCCCTGACTTGGGGCTCCCACATTTCAAATGTTTGCAGTGTGGTAAAAGAGGAAAAAAATTAAGTTTGGCAGCCAGCTTGGCGTTGCTACTTCTTAATCTTGCATGGAAGGACATTCAGTTTACGAAGCACCCAGCACCTCCTGGCCCCTCACTTCCTAGAACCTTTGCCTTGAAAAAACCCCAGGATGCAGCCTTAAAATAAGGAAGGTCACTAGATACCCAGGTGTGGTAGCAACACTGTAATCCCAGCACCCTAGGAGGCTGAGGCAGAAGGATCGAAAGTTGCTAGCCAAGAAGGGGAGGGACTTGTGGGGGTTTGGGCAGCAGGGCAGTGTAGAGGCCCCGCCTCCCACCTCCCTGGCCTTGGGCTCTCCATTCCATTCCACGCTAGCAGACGAAGCTGGATTCTGCCTTCCAGAAAGTGTAATGATAGGAAGGACACGGCCACCTGCACAGCCAGGGCTTTTTTTTTTTTTTTTTTTTTTTTTTGCGGTGCTGAAGACAACCCAGGGCCTCGAACACACCAGGCAAGTGCTATACCACTGAGCTACACCCAGCCCAACACTGCGTTAAAAAATCAAGTCTCTGTATCCAGGGAAGGATGGCATTGAGCTAGTGCCTCGTGCCCCCTCCTGCTGTCTGTGCTCCTTCTTCTGGCACCTTCCCTTGGGCCCCTGTGCCTCCTCCGGGAAGCCCTGTGTGAGCCTCTCCTTTGGGACAGCAGGGCAGGGCGGGAATGGGAGCCATGTCAGTGTCTCTGTGGGCCGCACAGAGCCTCAGGCTGCTCCTGGCCTGGGGGAGCTGAGACTCTCCTTAACAGGAAGCAGTGGGCAGTGCTGGGGCTGGGCTCCTCAGCCCTCACCCCCAGAGCCCCCTGGAAGCCATGAAGAGCCTTCTGTGCTGTGCCAGCTGAGCTCTTGGTATCAGCTGGTCTCCTTGGGCAGAGGGTTGGGGCCCCAGCATCCTGGCCTTGCCTTTGGACCTGGTCCCTCTGTCCCCCTCTGTTGCAGACGTAAGGATGGCAGTCCAGGGCCCAGGGTCCCTCTTTCCTGGCCTCCCACCCCCTCCAGGGAGGACATGGATGAGCCCAAGGCTCCCTTCCAGAGTACGGGGCTCAAAGACAGGACTCACTCAAGTCCTTCTGTCCCCGGACATCAAGGACCTCTCATGTGGAACAGGAGTCTTGAACCTGGTGACCTTGCGTTCTTCCAGTTGTGGGTGGGACATGGAGGGGGATTAGTGACGGAAGATGTCCCTGGACACTCAGGTTTGACCAGAAGGCACACCAGGGCTCCAACCGCCTCAGGGCACCACTTGGAGCCCCAGCTGTGGGACTCAGGAGATAGCAGAGAGGGTGTAGGACCTTAGCAAAAGTTGGGACCTTCAGGGCCCGGGTGTAGCTCAGTGGCAGAACACTTGCCTAGTGTGCACAAAGCCCTAGGTTTTATCCCCAGCATACAAAACATAAACAGCTATGAGTTAGGACCTGCAAAGAGCCAGTACTGCATTAGGGCCACTTCCACAGGACCCACTGGGTCTCCAGGCTGCTGGCCCATCAGTTCCATTCTCCAGATGAGGAAACCGAGGCTTGCAGTGGTCAATGACTTGCCCAAGTCACAAGGCCGATCTGGGACTGTGGGGCCCAGAGAGCCCCTGATCCATCAGGACAAGGAAGGGAGGAGGAGCAGTGGTCGGGTGGGGGCCATGGGGGGCTGGGATTTGGAATCTCTGGGAAGAGGCAGGCCCCGGAGCTGTTGATCTCTAAATTATAGCGTTGGCGCGCACCGGTTGCTGCAGCAACTGACTTGTCCTGAACCCAGGAAGTGTATAAACATTGCCACAGATGCACAATTAGATCAGGAAGAAGAATAGAACAGAAAATAGAAACCTCCAGCCTTATATAATTTGGGGCCAAAATGTTATCAGGAGCCTAGGCCCAGTCCCAGCCCTACTGGCTCTGAGGGCCGAGGTGGCACAAAGTCTGTCCTGGGGCCCTGAGCACAGGGAGGGTGGAGACAGGGTCTGCCCTCTGCGGGCCAGCTGTGTGCCAGCACCCGGTGGGTGACAGGCCTCCTCCACCCCAGCATCTGGGACTCTGACAGACCGGGCCTGCTCCTCCTGGCTCCTGGACAGGAAAGGCGGAAAGGCAAAGGCAGGCGGAAGGCGACGCCCTTTATCTCTCTGGGTCTGGTGAGACGGAATTCTCATGCCCCTGTTGCAGTTGCAGAACATGTGACTCTGAGAGGAAACTGAATTGACTAGGTGGCCTAGCTACGCAGCAGGGGGCCACCTCGCCCTCTCCAGGCTCCACGCCATGAGCTCATCCATGCTGCCACTCTAAGCTCAGAGCCACTTACTGCCCGGCTGTGTGGCCTTGGGGGCCCACTTGCCCTCTCTGAGCCACCTGTGAATAGCTATGGGACCGACATCAGGGCTTTCCCTCCCTCCATGCGAACACCACACTGGATTCTTACTAGCCACTGCTCCCAACAAGTTTGGGGACAGAACAGGACTCTAGGGCTCAGTGGCTCAAAGGAATAAAGGCCCTGGGTTTTTTTGTTTGTTTTTTGGTACTGGGGATTGAATTCAGGACCTTGCGCTTGTGAGGCAGGTGGTGGAACCACTGAGCTAAATCCCCGGCCCTCAAAAGAACAAAGGAAGGGAAGCATCCAAGACAGGAACTCAGACCCTCATGGGGCTGCAGGCGTGGTGCAGTCCAAGGACTTTTCTGCATGATGGAAATATCCTGTATCTTCTCCATCCTATGCAATAGCCACCAGTGGTTCCTGAACACGTGAAATGCTAATGTAAGTAAAGACCGGAAAAGCCAGGTGTGGTGGTACATACCTGTGATCCCAGAATTCAGGAGGCTGAGGCAGGAGGATCTTGAGTTTGAGGCCAGCCTGGCTTACCTAGCAAGTTCAAGGCCAGCCTGGACTACATAGTGAGACCCCATGACAAAACAACAAAAACAAAAAGAGGAAGGGATGTTGAATTTTTGTTTAATTTTAACTAAATATAAAAAGCTATGGGTGGCCAGTGGCTTCTGCATGGGACAAAACAAGAGGATGTCCAGCCTCTGAGACACCCCAAAGTGCAGAGGCTGAACCCAGCAAGGAGAGTGGGGACAGAGCTCAGGACCAATGATGGAGGGCAGCATCAAGATGGGCATCAGGAAGCTTCTGGAACGGCAGACAAAAGGTAGTTGGAAGGGAAACTCTCAGGAGATCCCAGTCAAGTGGGTCCTGGTCAACTTCCTGGTCAGGTGGACACCAGTAGCAGAGGCGGACAGTGCACAGGCTTGGCCCTGTCGTCAGAGCCGCACTGCTGTCACATGCCGCCGCCAGGACAGGGGAGGTCTGGGCTTCCAGTTCCTCCTTCTGGTCCTCCCTGCCCAGGACCTCACCTGTCCGGCTTCTCCCCCACAGGCCCTGCATCTCCCAGGTGACCACGCCGGCCTCAGGACATGCACGGGCACAGCCGGAACGGGCAGGCCCACGTGCCCCGGCGGAAACGCCGCAACCGCTTCGTGAAGAAGAACGGCCAGTGCAACGTGTACTTCGCCAACCTGAGCAACAAGTCCCAGCGCTACATGGCGGACATCTTCACCACCTGCGTGGACACACGCTGGCGCTACATGCTCATGATATTCTCCGCGGCCTTCCTCATCTCCTGGCTCTTCTTTGGCCTCCTCTTCTGGTGCATCGCATTCTTCCACGGTGACCTAGAGGCCAGCGCGGTGGTAGCAGCCGCGGGGGGCCCAACAGGCAATGTTGGGGCGACCCCAGCGGCCCCCAAACCCTGCATTATGCACGTGAATGGCTTTCTGGGAGCCTTCCTCTTCTCCGTGGAGACGCAGACGACCATCGGCTACGGCTTCCGGTGTGTGACAGAGGAGTGCCCGCTGGCGGTCATCGCCGTGGTGGTCCAGTCCATCGTGGGCTGTGTCATCGACTCCTTCATGATCGGCACCATCATGGCCAAGATGGCACGGCCCAAGAAACGCGCACAGACTCTGCTGTTCAGCCACCACGCGGTCATCTCGGTGCGCGACGGCAAGCTCTGCCTGATGTGGCGCGTGGGCAACCTGCGCAAGAGCCACATCGTGGAGGCCCACGTGCGTGCACAACTCATTAAGCCTTACATGACACAGGAGGGCGAGTACCTGCCGCTGGACCAGCGGGACCTCAACGTGGGCTACGACATCGGCCTGGACCGCATCTTCCTGGTGTCGCCCATCATCATCGTCCACGAGATCGATGAGGACAGCCCACTCTACGGCATGGGCAAGGAGGAGCTGGAGTCAGAGGACTTCGAGATCGTGGTCATCCTGGAGGGCATGGTGGAGGCCACAGCCATGACCACCCAGGCCCGCAGCTCCTACTTGGCCAGCGAGATCCTGTGGGGCCACCGCTTCGAGCCCGTGGTCTTTGAGGAGAAGAGCCACTACAAGGTGGACTACTCGCGCTTCCACAAGACCTACGAGGTGGCCGGCACGCCCTGCTGCTCGGCCCGGGAGCTGCAGGAGAGCAAGATCACCGTGCTGCCCGCCCCGCCACCCCCGCCCAGTGCCTTTTGCTATGAGAACGAGCTGGCCCTCATGAGCCAGGAGGAGGAGGAGATGGAGGAGGAGGCGGCCGCTGCGGCTGCTGTGGCCGCAGGCCTGGGCCTGGAGGCGGGCTCCAAGGAGGAGGCGGGCATCATCCGGATGCTGGAGTTTGGCAGCCACCTGGATCTGGAGCGCATGCAGGCCACCCTCCCACTGGACAACATCTCCTACCGCAGGGAGTCTGCCATCTGACCTCGTCACCTCTGCAGGGTGGGAAGCCAGGACGCCTCTCCCACCCTCAGGACAGAGCTGCCCTAGCTCCGTGGACCTCCTGGAGGAAGGGGGGACAGCCAAGACTGGGGGGACCCTTCATGCTGACTGCAGCGCCCAGGTCTGGGAAGGGCCCAGGAACTCGGCCCAAGCTCCCACCCCTACCCGCCAGTGGCTGTGGCCCCCACAGCTCCCACCCTTCCCCCACTGACACTTCAAGGACGTGCCCCTGTGCCCTCAGAACTCGGGGAAGGCGGCTGGGCTGCTGGGGGGTGGGCATCTTGGGGTTCGGGAGGGCAAGGGGTGGGGCCGGGGAGGGGGCGGGGCGCGTTTCTCTTGCATGACTACAGCCTTGTGCTCTCATGACTTTCTTTTGTAAATATCTACAAATGGAGTGAGCTGGAGATGCCAGATCCACCTCTGCCATTTTTACCTGCAGGACAAGGGGATGTCATCCCTCTCTCTGCCCCCACCGTCATGCCCAGCCCCTTCCCCTGCCCAGCTGGCTGTCCCCAGAGCCCCTTCAAAGCCAAAGCGTGGCCCCTGGATGGTGTCGGGTTTGGGTGCAGAGGCGGAACCCCGAGAGGCAGGCTGAGGACCTGTCTCTCCCCGCCCTCCCTGCAGTCCTGCGGGCCCAGCTCAGACTGATAATGGAGTTTGTAACTATCTATTTTTAATAAAGTACATGGTCCGATAGCGCTGAGCTGGTTGAGAGGGAGGGTTAGACAGGAGAGTGAGGGCATGCATGTGCACAAGGGTGTCTGTGTGCATCCCCTCTGAGACTCTGGCTCTGCGGGGCCGCATCGCCTGCCGCTGTCCTCCGACGGGTAGTGGAAGGGTCCTGAGTGGGCTTCAAAGGACCTGGGCCCGAGTCAAACCTTTGGGGAAGTAGAAAGGACTCCCTGATTTACATGCTCAGGTATGCACACGCACACATGTGACAAGGCTGGCTGCAGGACATGGCGGCCAGAAGCTTGGTTAGTCCAGGCCTGGTCTTCACCTCCTGTGTCCCCCAGGCTGTGTAACAAGACCCCCGAAAACTCAGGTACCGATGATTCATTCTTTCTCACAGTCCCCGGGCCAGCTCCCAGTCCAGCTTCTCCTGCTGCACTCCAACAGCTGTACCCAGCTGCCAGGCCAGCAGGAGTAAGAACCAAGGAGACCTCACCCACACATGGGCGGGTGCCTGGCACCCGGCTGGGGCTGCGGTTCACCTCTGGGGACCTCTTCTCTTCCAATGGGTGGCATCAGATTCATTCACGCTGTCTCAGTGCAGTGACCTAAGATGGAAGCAGAAGCCACGAGGTCTCAGAGGCCTAGACTTGAACTTGTGTAATGTCATTTCCAGGGCATCCCACTGACCGTCCAGGTCGCCAAGCCAACCTACCCCACGTGCACAGGGTGGTAAATTAGACTCCTCCTCCTGGGAGAGAAGTCACTGTCACAAAGGGCATGGACAGGAGGGGAGGCCGGCCATGCTAGGTGGCCTGTTCCGGGTCCCTTGAGTCTCAGCTGCCTTCATCTCTTGCTCTGTTCCACCACCCGCATTGTACACAGTACTCGGATTACAGGGAAGCAGAAGGCATCCTCCCTGGCTCTGGGGAGCTTCTGTGCCAAGGTGCCAGCTAGCAGGATATCCAGAAAACCAGCCACCAGGCTCACCTACTATGAAGTGTTGTGGGCAGCCTTGTGAATGGCCACCTCCCACCGGCCGTGGCAATGAGGCCTCCACGGAGTAAACTACTGGGCATCTGTGTGTTTTAACAATTTAACAAGGGAGCCTGAGGCCTCTTGCCAGGGGAGAGAGGCTCCTTTGGGATTGAGGGTGACACCTTTCACATCCTTCAGTTCCATCTTCTTCCAGCCCTGAGAGCCCCATCTCCCCCTCCTGCCCATTTTGTGGGTGACAAGAAGTGCCCAGAGGGAGCTCAGGTGCCCACCTGGACCTGGGATGAATCTCACAGGACACACAGCTGTCCCCTCAAGGAGAGGCCAAGCCACAGGATGGAGAGGGCTACACAGAAGGCAGGTGCTAGGAGGAGCCACCAGGGACATGTCGGGGTCCCTCGCTCCCTGACATCTTCTGTCACCAGTTTGCCACTTGCTTGGACACTTGGGCAGTCCCTCCTCTACGGTGCCTGTCTCTCTGGTCACAGACAAGGTGACCCCCTAAAGCCAGAACTTTCTGGCTGGAGTGACACAGAGGAAAGACAGTATGGCCTGGGGTGGGGTGCAGGTGACGGGGTGGGGGGAGAGGCGCGCAGGCTGCAGGAGGCTCCGGGTGCAGGCTTCTGCAAACTTGTGCTCGCTCCCTCGAAGGCTCAGCCCCGCTGCGAGCTGACTCACTTTCCTCTCCCACCTGCTCCCCTGTCACCGCCTCCCACCTGCTCCCCACTCCACGCCGGCGGATGGCTGCCTCTGGGGGCGGCAGGAGCTCAGGTCCCCTGGCTCCCATCACGCACACGGGGCCTGCAGGGCCGGAGGTGCCGCCCTGTTCCTCTTCCCAGCCCAGCCCAGCTCCCCTCAGAGCCAGGAAAGGGGGACCCCACTCCATCTGCCATACCCAGCCTCCACCCTGCAGCCACAGCCCCGGGGGACAGGGGGGTGGCTGGAGGAGCAGGAAGGGAAAAGAGGGGTGGAGACAGGAGAGGAAGGGAGACAACGGAGGCTGGAACCTGCCCTCCAAGTCCTGCACCTGCCCTGGCTGCCTGAGCCCCCATTCCAGCTCATCACAGCCATTGCAGATTCACCCTGTGCTCCTTGGGCTGCGGTCCAGTGTCCTCCCTACTACTGCACAGGACCAGCTACATACTTTGAGGAGCCCACGGCTGGGGCTGGATGAAAACGTGGGTCCTTGTCCAAAAAAATCAGGAAGGCACTAAAAACCATCAAAGGCGCTAAAATATAAAATGTTTCCTTTTCTTGCAATTTCCTCCTCTGCTCGTGCACACGCATTGTATGAAGTTCACTTACAGACCAGAAGTTCAAAGATAAAACTAAGACGTTCAAGGCAGCTGGGTGTGGGGTGCCCACCTAGAATCCCAGCCTCTCAGGGGGGCTGAGGCAGGAGGATGGCAAGTTTGAGGCCAGCCTGGGGACCCTAGTGAGATGGCCTAGGATTGTGCTCCTCCTTTGCTTCTAGAAGAGCGCAGGAGGTCTTGGGGACAGGGTGGGGCAGGACAAACTGGCCCTTGGTAAAATCGGCTGAGTCCTTCTTTGCCCCTCCTCCTAAGCACCTGCCACCCCCAGGCCACCCTCTCTCCACTGACTGCCTGTCTCCACTGTCCTGGGTCCTGGTGGGCATCAGACATGAGCCCTACCCCCTCGGGTCTGCACTCTGCCCTGAAGTGACCCTCGAAGGTCCCAAAGACCTTCTTGTTCATCCCACAGGCGGGCCCTGCCCTGGGGAGGGGCTCCGTGCTCAAGCAGACAGAACTCTGGGAAAGGGCGCTGGGCCTGGAGACCTGAGCCCTGGCCCAGCCTGAGACCGCAGACTAATTGCTGGGATTGCAGACAGGGCTCGTCCATCACGGCTGTCCACCATGGCTTTGGGCATCATGGCAACAGCACAGGTAGCCAGGTCCCTGTGGGAGGGAGGCGGTCAGCAGCTCGCTCCATGGGAGGAAGGCAGAGAGGACCTCGCAGGCACCCCAGGGGAACTGCAGTGCCTCCTCCAGAGCCAGGCCCCTGGCCCCTGATGTTGTCACCGGGGTCCCCTCCCAGGATGTGGCCCAGCCCCTGCTGAGCCCCGAGGCTCCCTGCCAAGCAGAGGGAGGTCCATGCCTGCTCCTCCCCTGCCACCTCCTCGACCCATCCCAGGCCTGTCCTGCCCTCTCTTCTCCCTCCTGTTAACACCTGGCCCTAGGGGAAAGGGACTGCAGAGGGAGAGACAGCCACTGTGAGGGGAGAGCTGGTGACAGGGATGGAGACGCTATGACAGGAGGGGGAGAGAGCAGAGACATGGACAGAGGTGGAGAGGCCTCAGTGGAGCGGGGACTGTGGAGGGACAGAAGTCACAGCAGGGGCCAGGGCAGGATCCTGGGGCAGAGCAGAGGTTGGGAAGAGAATGGAGGTGGTGCGGTGGACACAGCAACAACTCCGACCCCTCTGTGAGGTGTCCTGGGGACCCCACCCCACTGTACACCATCTTCAGTCTCGGCAATGTGGGACATTAACCCACCACCCCTTAACAGTGAGACGCCTGCACTCTCTGGCTGTAAGGACCTTTTGCTTCTGCTTTTGGTTCAGGTCTTTGCTAAGTTGCCCAGACTGGCCTCAAACTCATGATCCTCCTGCCTCAGCCTCCCATGTGCTGGGATTCCAGGTGTGTGTTGCCACACCCGGATCCCCTGACACTTTGATTTCTCATCAGGCTCTTCAGGACTGAGCCACAGCAGAGTGTGGGTGATGGGAGAGAGGCCACGGAAGGGGGTGCAGATGGGGGGTGGGGACCAGGCCATCCTAGGGAGCTGGTCAGGTGAGCGGGTGAGGCTGTCAGATGAAGATCTGAGGCCTTTCCTGCAGCCCAAGGAACAGAGGGCTGACCGATGGAAGTGGGGTGCCTGTGGCTGGGAGGGGCCGGGCCCAGAGCAGCAGCCTGGATGTGGCCCAGGCTCCCTGCCGCCTTTGCCCATGTCTAGGCCTCAGGGCCCTGAAGGGTCTGGCAGGGACCGTGGTGGCAGGAGCAGTGGCCTTTGGGGCTCAGGAGTCAGGTGGTCAGAGGGGCCTCCGTGGGCAGAGGTGGGGGACAATTAGTGCTGGGAAGCTGGAAGGGACAGAATGGCATCATCTGTGAAAGCGCAATGACAACAACAGTCCCCCTTTCTCAAGGGGACAACATGCATCATGGCACTGCGTGCAGGGCTCGCTCCTGCCCTGCACAGAGACGTCCCGGCCGCAGGCTCAGGGCATGCGCATGCCTCCCCTCTCCCCTTCCCTTGGCACAGGGAGGGGCCCTTGGGGTGACCCCTCCCCTGCTGCCCCACCTGCCCAAGGGGGCTGCCACTTCCTCTAGGCCCATGGGGCAGTGGGGCTCGGACACCATGTCACAGTTCAGATCTCGATCGTCCCCTGTCCCCCAAGACTCACATGAAGCCTGGTGGCTGCCTGTGGCCCTGGTGGAAGATAGCAGAATCTTCAGGAGTGGGGAGCTAGAGGAAGGTCACTGGGGCCGGACCCTGAGAGGAGATGGGGACCCTGCCCTTCCTCTCTCTACTCCCAGCCGCCATGATATTTGGCTTCACCGAAGCCCAAAGGTGACGACCTCGAACTGAAACCTCTGGAACCCTGAGCCAGAGTTTCCTCCTGAAGGTGCTTTCCTCGGGTTCATTGTCACAGCGGCATAAGCCGAGCAGCACGGGGTGGGGGTGGCGGGTCTCCCCAACAGCTCCAGCCGAGTCACAGGCTTGGCCACACTCCCAGCTTGAGTCGCCGTGGCATGGCCAGAGCCCTGCTGCTACTGGGACACGGGGGCCTGGCTGGGGGTCTTGACTACCCAGGAGAGAACCGGGGGAGGCGGAGGGACTGAGAGCCCAGGAGGGGCAGGAAAAGTCCATCCCATGTGACCTTGGCCAGGGTCTGCTCAGAGTCAGCGGGGACCCTTTGGGCAGCGCAGGGGACCCGCTCTGCTGGCTGTGTGGCTGTATGGAGTCTCCAGGGCTCCGCCTGATGGCCTGCGAGGTGGCAGTAAGCAGGGG